ACCTTCCTTTCAAGACACTGAAAAATGTATAATTATTTACCCAAGAACATTTCAGGTGTGTTGGGAGGAGGGGTAATTTACCAAGTACTATTAAACTTATACACCTGAAAATCACTTTGAAAGTCCACTTCTGTTATTGTTACTTCTACTAAAAATGAAAAGTCAAACTCACAAAGTCCATTGAACTGTCTTGACCCTCATACCAAAAGCACAAGCCACAAAAGAAATAGATAAATTGGATCTCTTTAAAATTATAAACTTTGGTGATGCAAAGGAAATCATCAATAAATTATAAGACAGGCCACCCAATGGAAGAAGATATTATGCAAATCATATCTGATGAGACTTGTATCTAGAATATATAAAGAACTCATACCTCAATAATAAAGACAATCCAAAGAAAAATGGGTGAAGGATCTGAATAGATATTCCTCTAAAGGAGATATACAAATGGCCAATGAAGCACAGGAAAAGATGCTCTACATCATCAGGAAAATAATATCGTCAATAAATATGAAAATCAAAACTACAGTGAGATATCATTTCATACCCACTAAGATGGCTAGAAGCAACTGTTAGTAAGGACATGGAGAAATCCGAGCCCTTGCACAATGTAGAATTGTAGAATGGTACCACCTTGTAGAGTGGTGCCACCACTTTGGAAAACAGTCTGTAATTTCCACAAAACATTATGATAGGACATAGAAATATCATTCCTAAGCATATACCCAAGAGGAATGAGAACATATGTCCACACAAAACTTTTACACCAATGTTTTCAGCAGCATTATTCATAACAGCCAAAAAAGGGGGGGGGACAACCAAAAGTCCATCAATTGATAAATGGGTAAATAAAATGTGTTATATGCCTAAAATGGAATATTATTCAATGATAAAAAGAAATGAAATACTGATAAATTCTACGATGTGTGGACATTTAAAAACAGTATGCTAAGTGAAGGAAGCCACTTACAAAGAACCGCATATTGTATGATTCCATTTACATGAGATGTCCAGAATAGGTAAATCTAGACAAAAAGTAAATCAGTGATTGCCTAAGATTTTGGGGTAAAGCAGGTTGGAGGGAAAATGGGGTGTGACTGTTAATGGACATGGAGTTTTTTGCAGGGTGCTGAAAATGTTCTAGAATTGATTATGGCAATGGTTGTACAACTCTGACTATACTAAAAACCATTGAATTGTTCACTATAAATAAGTGAATTCCATGGTTTGTGAGTTATATCTCAATAAATCTGTGATTTAGAAAAAAATGTATTGGACTTAAGTTATTCTATTGACCATATTAATATAATTTAAAACAGGGACATAGAATGTGTATATTCATCCAGCTTTGTATAAACTCAGAGAAATGCAGAGTAATCAATTATTTCATTTTATTGTATCTGAGTTTCAGCATGAATAAAAACCTTTCAAAATGACAAACACAAGTGTTTTCTTGATGAAGATTTAAATGAATTTTTGAATGAACTTGGAATTACTCTAGATATTTTACTAGATTCCATACTTATTCCAAAGCAAAATAATTTTATGGTATGCAATTAAGAGCATCATGGAAACAATTTTTATCAATCTTTTCTCATTCACTAAAGGAAGGAAATATATTAAGTTCAGCTTCCTTTAAATACTAAAATACAGTATGTCCTACATATTGTAACTAAACAATGCACAGTTCCATTTAAAAGACAAATTATAAGTAGGCCAATACATTTAAAATAAGCCTTGTGGTGCCCTAGCTAGGTTTCTCAATGGTTAGAGCATCAGCCCATGGACTGAAAGGTCTCAGGTTTGATTCCTGTCAAGGGCATACCTTGGTTGCAGGCATGTGCGGGAGGTAATCAATGTTTCTCTCTCTGTCTCTCCCCCTCCCTTCCACTCACTAAAAATCAATGGAAAAAAACATGCTCAGGTGAGGATTAACAAAAAACAAACAAACAAATAAATGTAAATAAATAAAATAAGCCTAGTGGTGTTATATTCTTTGTAAATACATATATTCCATATTCCAAAAGGTATATTTTTATAAAATTATTTTCCTACTATTAAGCTGAATATTACCTTTATACTAAGGTCATATGAATTTGAAACTGAAATAATAAAGATTTTTCATCCCAGCTACTTCTTTCACACAAAAAAACACCTGAGACCTAAAGTGGCTAAGCTTTTGTCCAAAATCATGATTGAGAAATCCATGGATTGAAACCAAATGTCCCAATTCCCAAGGAAATGATGTTCTCTCTATACAAAAATTCCTTTATTATTTGAAAATCTATCAGCATGTAGATGGAAACTAAGTTTATATATTTGTTAGATGTTTCTATACGTGAATATATATTATTTGTTCATTTATAGCACTAACAATGCTCTTAAGCTTGAGCTCCTAGAAGGCTGCAATCATGTATGTCTCACTCTCAGCTTATCTAAGAACCTCTTATAAAGAATGGTAATCAACAAGATTAAAACACAATGTAGTAATAATTTAATAAAATTATTTGATTTCCAGTGGAAGGCTTAAGAAAACCCCCATAAAGATGGGTCCATAAATACCCCAGGAGGAAACCCAGCATGGCTTTATTTGAAATAAAGGATTCTTTACAGACTTATCCAACTAGTGCGTTAAAGGAGCATCCTCCGACTCTACCAAGACTCTTGAAAGAAGCTCATGAAATTATTACTTTTATTGGCTTTACACCCGGTTTGGTTAGAAATCCCTCTTCTTACACCTTCTTTCCCCTATTCAAATCTTCCCAGAATTACCCTATTCCAAATATTACTCTTTTATCCTAATAAAACCACCAGCTACCTATAAAGCTTCTCTTTATCTATTTCATATTAAAGTGTAAGTTGCTAATAGGTCTAAATATGAGGAGTGATGTCTCAAGAATTCAGTTTTAAAGTGAGGTTCCTTTTGTTCAAAATTGTCCTTAACTAATGTAGTGAGTGTAAATTAATGTAAATAGTGATCCTTTGCTATATCAGCAACTCTGTGCCCCAACCTCCTCTGGGGGCCACTGAAGTCTCCTGACCCCCTACATTCCAGAAATAGGGGTCAGCAACTGGGTGCCCCACTTGTGAAAAGCTGTTGACCTCTGGGAGGGAGCTTGTATGGAAGCAAGTGTTAATTTTCAAAATGTGGCTGGGTGTGATAGCAGCAACCTCACCTCATCACAATGCCCCTTGGAATGTTTTCTCGTCAGAAGGTCTAGAAGTGATCTGTCATCACTGGTCAGTGGTACAAGCAGCTCATTCTTGTATCTTTGCCCTTCTCCCCTGGAACTGAAACAAAACATACCACACTGCCCTCCTCACATTTGAATTTGCATGTGTTCAACCTCTGTCAGGGGTTCACCTTCAGTGGCATGGTCAGAGCACCAAGAAATTATATTTAACACATGAAAAATGAAAAAGGGGAAAAAAAGGTCATTTCTCCACGCCTTCTAGTGGAAAGCTACAAAATTTGTGTTTTGGGTATGCTATGTGTGTGCTTATTCTTGGAGCAACATTTAGAGACATTTTAAATGATGACCCTCTAAAGTCATAAAAGGCTTTAGTAACACACTTTAATATATAATTTCTTAAGCACTTTTAAAAATAAAATACAGATATATAATTATAATTACCAATGCATGTATGTCATTTAATATCATGATAAAAAGACTAGTCATTGAAGTGACATGTGATTAATATTTACAGAATAACCAAAGGAAACAGCATTTGTACAATATTGCTAAATAAAAAAAGATTAATAATACTCGTATTAAGGTTTCATTTCAAACCACCAACAGCAAAAAGGAAAATGCTTTCCTTATTAATGCATATGTGTATAGATCATTACTTCCATGTTTTCTGAATATGGAGAAATCTTGTCCTCCTTGAATTATACCAAGCACTAAGGCTGGTATAGGACTTCTCCCAAGTCTTTGTCAATCTATTAATACCATACACAAATAGCTTATATAGATCCACCTATTGGAAATATTTCATGTCCCTTCAGGCTAATCTTAAATTTAAAAATCAAAATTAATTTGACGAACTGTTACAGAATGCATGAGGAAACTTATCAATATCTATAAACAGAGTCACAACCTGTGCAAATCCTGTTGAAATAGTAATCCCCGAAACATCTAACAGCTGTGCTGCTTGAAAGACCATCAAGAGCTACACTCTTTCCCCATCTAAACTAGGGATGAGTTAAAGCAACTCTGTTTAGCACTAAAGGCAATCACACTGCTTTCGCTTGGAAAATATATGAACTGCAATGAGTCGATGGACAGACACATTGTTTTAGTTTCTCAACAGACATATGGTAATGTTTCTCACCATGCATTCGTAGCCTTTCCTATTCATCTCATAATGAGCTATCATGGTTACTTGTTCTGAAATTTTAAACCATGTATACATCATTTTAGGAATTTTAAAAAAATGAATGCTGTTTTCATTTTTCCATTTTCAAAGTTAAAAATGCTGTTGAGGTTAAAAGTTTTATGGCTCCTTTATCATAATTGGTATCTTCCTCCTTAGTCCTCCAAGAGGGCCTTTATAGTACCGGGCTTTGGCCTTTGCACTACAGCCCCCAAAAGACAGATTGCTGGAGATAACCCCCTGAAATTCCTTACAGTGTTACTTAACACCATAAAGGCCTAGAATCTATCTGTTTTGGGATTCAGACAAAGAGACAAGGTTAAGAAGGGGAGAGGTTTCAATTTGTAGGAGTTACAAGACATAAATAAGTAGCATAAATGCCTTTTTCCTTGCTAATAGACTATGGGTCAGGAACCTCACAGCAAGATGGAAAAAAATATGCTGAATGAAAAACCACACTATAAAAATCTAAGGGATAATTGACAATATTATTCCTCTTGATTTAAAAAGATAAACATTTCTTATTGGAATCAAAGAATTTGATGTGGACTTGTTTTCTCTTTGCCATTCCATTCATATATCCCTTCCCCAATGAAAACTGGAACTTAAAAATGTTTACAGAACATTCTTTAATGGACTAGTTGGTAAACTAAATAAAATGAGCAAAAATCCAAAATAATGGAAATTTATTCTCTGCAGATGAATAAACACCTCTTATATGCCCAATGGAAAATGGGGAAAAAAATCACAAGCCTCTCTTCCACCTTCCTTAGGGAAATAATTATTATGCGTTATGGATTTACAGAACCACGGTCATATACTATCTGTGATAAGCAAACAGGAACACAAAAGCTAATCCTTCACAATTATAAATACTTCAGAACTAACACTAAAACTTCGACTGGCTTTTGCATTTTAGTTTCTCACACTGTGCCCAACAATAACAGAAATCACAAGATTCTGTGTGCTGGTTACTGCTGTTTATCAACACTCAAGTATGAAACGGCCTAGAGCATTTTTCTGATAAACTATTATAAGTCTTAGCCTGGTTCGTATCATTGCCAAGTTTTAAGTTTGCTGTTTGGTTTTTGAAAGAGTCTGAGAACTCTGGTTAAACATACTACATTTATGTCAATACTCTGTGCAACTGGATGAAGGAGGGGGAAAAACAGAAAGATGATGTGGTTTTGTAGACTTCAAAACTCCACATGCTATGTACAGTATACATATACACCATAGATAATTACAATCTCACCATGAGAAAGTAAAAAAAACAAAACAAAAAAACTCAGTGAGCATTCATTTTCTATTATATGTACATTTTACAAGCTACTCATAGTTTCTTTTCATATTGCTTTTTTTAAAAAAAAAAAGAGAGAGAGAGAAAATGAGGACAGAAAATACATTAGATCAATTCGAATGTATATTAGACTTAAAGGCTTCATCAGACCATATGTGCAGACACTTGAGATGATGACAGAGTTAAACTTCCTAGGGTCCTAGAGTCAAAGAAACTCTGCTGGCCCCCACTGCTCAGCAGGTGCACTCCTTCCACAGGGGGCAACATCTGCCGATCAGTCATGGTCCCACTCGGTGAGGACCCCAAGAAACTTCCTTGGGAAGAAACAATTTTCTCAGGACTGGCAGCCAGTTTGGGGGATGTGGAGAAGTTATATCCATACAAGGCACAGGGGCTGTGTAACCTGAAAGTGTTATAGGAACCCTGATGGGTCTGGTTAGCAGCAAAGGCGTTGCTGGAGGGTGAAGGCATGATGTACTGGAGCTGAGGAGACATCCCCGAAATCTGCATGGACAGGCTGGTCTGTGGGCAGCTGAAGGTGTCCCCATCAGCGCCACCCATCGACATGTTCACAGAGGCGCTGCTGCTCACGCCCACATAGGAGGGAGTCCTGGGCGGGGCGAAGGTGTCGCTGGTCTGGTTGGTGAGCCTATTGTAGGTCTCCGCCAAGGATGTGCTGTATCGGTTGAGGGTGAGGCCTGACCGGGTGCAGGCGGAGTAGTCAGCCGGGGCCAGACTACACAGCTGGCTGGTATTGGGCCCCAGATGGAAGGCAGGAGAGGAGCAAGGGGAACCAGACAAAAGATGAGGATGGGTGGCAGCAACGCCATTCCCAGAACCTTGGAGTAAGGTGGAGGAACTTGTATTTCCTACGAGAGAAGGTGAAATGTAAAGAGCAATAATTCCACAGCCGTCTTTTCTTTTCAATTTTATAAACAAGAGCTAGATACTGACTTTCCCAAGCAATTTTATAACATATAAACTTCATCTTACTATGTCTCTTGTTCCAAAAGTATAACCATTGGCTCTCTCCTACCAACCTTTTACCTTTTCATTCAGCAGAGCTTGCTCTGGATCAATATATTTGCTTGCAAGAAAAAGAAGGAATTCAAAGGATAGAGCACATCTTGCCTCAAACACATCTGTAGCTGGCCACTGAAAGTTTGCGTGTGTCAATGACTGTACTACGCAGAACTTTACATTTTTTCATTTCCAACCAGAAACAGGTTGGAGCATCCCGTGCTAACACAAGAACAGATGGCCAACACACAAGTAGTCCTGTGAAATGGAGAGGGTGGCGAGCCCTATGTCCAATCAATAACGGTGATGGTGGCTGAATCCCCTCTCTGGATTGGCTGGAAGATTGGTGTTTGCAAACTTGACAGAACTTAGGGGGAGAGAAGAATTCCAATGGACTGGACAGGTTGTAAAACAGTCATTGCACTAGCAACAGTGTTTTATATAGCTTCTCAAAATAACCGAAAGTCCAATTCAACCAAGGATAATTATCTAAAACACAGCAGGCTAAGTTCTCCATGGGGAGCTGGGCAGGATCAGGAGTAAATAGCCTGAGTGAGGACATGGGCTGAGAGTCCTACCTACCCCAGGCAGAGGAGGAAGTGGCATGGAAGTGTCATTCCTATCCAGGCAACTTCTTCTAGGGAAACACTGGCCTTGAGCTTGGGAGAAATACTCAGGGGTGAGCCCAGGGAAGCCTTCCCCAGTGTGCCTGACTTTCTCATCATAAACCCTGCCTAGAGGCAATTCTGGTGAAGGAAGAAAAGAAAGAGGCTGGCAAGAAAAGCTGAACTACAACCAGCAATGGCACTTTCTCGTGCAGTGCACCTGGCACCAGAGCCCCCTAGTCCACCTCTAATTTTAATAAGAGATTTAAGGTGAGGTGAAGGTCATGAAATATATAAACAGCCTAAGACATCGAAGGCTTAACCTAAGACCACAAGTGCCATTTTTCCTGGTCCATCGCCATACCACACAGAAAGAGTTGGATCCTGTAACGGGAGGATGCTGGTGATGAGGTCGCCGCTGTGAATAATGACTTGCTCATTTCTCAGTTCCTGAGCTTCTAGGCAGGAACTGGCTGCTTATTTGACTGGAGGACTCTGTGATTTACCTTGCTTGGGAATTCCAGGAATATCTTCAAAGGTGAGAGTCCGTAGTGAAGGTCTCCAGAATGCATACGACTCCACAAGGGCTTCCAAACCCATTCTAAATGGAAGGACCGGGAGGGGGATGGACAAAAGAAGCTGCGTTAGGAGCACTGGAGCCTTCCTCAGCAATAAGCAGCTCAGCAAGCAGCGGTGGTGTTGACTTTGGCAAGTGAGAAGCTTGGCACAGGCGGAAAGAAATGCTTCAGAGATGGGCTACCATTCCGTCACTAGGGCACAAGAGGATGACCACCCAAGAAGTCCTGTTAGTGTTAGACAACTAAGCCGACCTCGGAGGATAAAAGGCTGTCCCCTTGGGCTAAGTTGAGGTGAAGAATGGCCATCCTAGCTGATGTGACTCCAAGGCTATGCTGTGATCTGGAACCGACCCCCTCTCCCTGTTACATTACTTCCTCTCTCTGGTGAGGAAGTCCCTGCCACAGAGCATGCCCTGTGAAGCCACCTCTTTCCTAACAGACATTTCTGTCCATCATTCGTTGCCTCAGCGGCCAGCTTAGGGGAGCACTCATCCAAAGAAAACTGATTTCTCTCTCAGGGACTTGATCTCCATCACATCTGGGGCGGCCAGGGTGGGCTCTCACTCCAGCAACAGGAGGTCTGAGGGGCGTGGCAGCACTGGCCTCTCAGCCCAAGATGCAGGGGGATGATAAGAAGGTGGTCTCACTGGGCGGTAGGGAATACAGACCTAGGATTAGCATCAAACATTATTTTTAAATTCCTCCATACCCTTAAAGGATGGACACTTAACGAGACAGAACAAATTGATTATGGACTATTTACATGATATATGCATATTTTAAAACAAGGGCAACTACTCTAACTACAGATATATGTGTATGTATCTCCTACCTTAAGTGATTCAGAGTCTTCCCCTCCTTCTATCAGATAACTAAGTCCTCTAGGTTCTGGAAATGAGGCCCTTCATTTAACTAGCCCATTCTCAAGACCTCACCACTCTTCCCTCAACCACCTCAGCCCTAAACAATTTATTAATGTAGATAACATTGTGCTTTTCATGAAACATATAGCTCCACTGTAGGAAATGGCTGCTTCCTGCATGTCAAACAATACTCAGACATCTCTTGTGATTGTTAGATAGTTTTATTTAATATACATATGTAATCTGTGTTTAATGTAGATATTAAAGATAGGTTCATCTCTAATAGCTTAGACTCAGTGCACTACCTCCTCTGCCTTCCCTGCATCTCTAAGTCGGAAACTATGAAGACTACCAGTAAAGGACCCTCCCTCCCCCCAGACAATAAGAGTGGTAAGTGATGTGTGCAGATAAAATCATCTCACGTGACCTGCCCTTCTCTACTAAGGTTTTGTACATTGAATTTGCTTCTATAGAGCAGTGGTTCTCAACCTGTGCGTCACAACCCCTTTGGGGGTCAAACGACTCTTTCACAGGGGTTGCCTAAGACCATCGGAAAACACATATATAATTACATATTGTTTTTGTGATTAATCACTATGCTTTAATTATGTTCAATTTGTAACAATGAAATTGGGGGTCACCACAACATGAGGAACTGTATTAAAGGGTCGTGGCATTAGGAAGGTTGAGAACCACTGCTATAGAGTGATCAGGGTACAGACTCATTAATTTGTTGATTTCTGTCATGACTCCATAAGGAGCATTACTATTTTATCTTAGTGATGGAAGATAGCTATGTGGGTGTGGATGGGTGGTGTGGTACATGCACAGGCTTGCATACATGAACCATCCTCATAGGAGACACACATGGACCTGACTCATTTCTGAAGTCACAGGTTCAGGGGGATCCTGCTCTGGGAACACTTCCAAGAGCCATCCAGTGTCACACAGGTGCTAGTACTGGGCACAGAGTGGACCTGCATGGACCTTACCTGGACTGTACTGAGAGAGAAGGGCAGACTCTGGCCCCAGCTGTAATCAGTGTGCCACAGAGAGCAGTGTTAAGGACACTGGATTGAGGGTCAGGAGAACTGAATTGAGACTGAAACACTAAAACTCACCATGTGACCTTAAGCAATTGTTCTAACCTCACTGGATGTCAGCTTCCCACAAAGTGAGGATTAGACTACAAAAGCTTTGAATCCTGTCCTAGCTCTAAAGTTGTTTGCTATTAAGTGATTTTTCGCAAACCAGACATCATATCTGTGGCTGAACCACAAGCCAAATCCAAGACCACTCTGCTGAGTAACATTTTGTGTACATTGAAGTATTAATTAGGGGGGGTTGGCAGCCTGTATGTAGCCTGCATGTCATTTAATACTGTACTATCAAATGCTAGGTGCTATTTAGCTGATTACTCTATATTTAGCTTATACCAGTGGTCGGCAAACTGCAGCTTGCAAGCCACATGCGGCTCTTTGGCCCCTTGAGTGTGGCTCTTCCACAAAATACCACGTGCGGGCGCGCACTACAGTGCGATTGAAATTTTGTGGCCCATGCTCAGAAGTCGGTATTTTGTAGAAGAGCCACACTCAAGGGGCCAAAGAGCCGCAGGGGTCGATTGGGGTGTCGGGAGCCAACCACTGGACTAATACTAAATTTGTATGACTTCCTAAAAAAAAGCTTTTTGAATGTTAGGACACAGTTTTGTATAAAACTGTTTTTTATTACCACATAGATGAGTTTCAGTAATCATAGTTTTAAATATTAAAGATACCAAAGTGGTCATGAAAGTGTTCTCAAAGGAGATTAACTAAGAGATAATTAATGAACAGCCACCAGACTTAAAAATTTATTAACTATATAAATGAGCATTACTGCATTACTTGCGTTAGCAGCGTACACTTTATTATGCTTCAAATACAAATCCATAGACTAAATTCCTGGGGGGGGGGGGGAGTTATTGATCATCCCAAACACAGATGCCCTAAGTTTTAAAGAGAGGTTCTGAAGGTGACATATCTACAAGTGATCTAATTTGGAGCTATTGATATTTTTCTTGAGGCTGCTGTTTCACACTGCAAGTTCCAGAAAGGATTTGAGATATTTTGCAGGAAACAGTTATAAAATATTTATTAGCTGAATCTGGACATTTTTTTTTTAAAAAAGCCTTCATTTTCTCCAGTAATGGAGACTTTTCCTGTCTAGTTAAAGAAAAGATAAAAGGCACCTCCTGCAGGAGTGTAGCCAAGGCGATAATTTATACAAGATGCCTTTGAACAATTTCCACATTTTATCACCACCCTAATTTATGCTATCAAATGGCCAAGTTTATTTAGTAAAATGGTTATGTTTTTCCTGAAGTATTTAAAGAGAAGAAATTTTTGTACCTTCCTGAGTAAAAAATTTTATAGGGTCAAACCTAAGGCCTAACTGAAGAATGAAACTATTCTCAGCACATAAATTCTCTTTCACGTAGCAAATGTCTTGCAGGAGAGCTTTTAAGGGCTGAAGCTACTGATTCCTATAAAATAGGCTGTACAACCGTAAATAGCCAGGAAGGGATAATTTTTAATTAAAGCAAATTGTTTTATAAAGTTTAAAAAATCACAAGTCCATGTTTATTTCTTATCTTGCTTAATTTGTTTATTTCATATATAGGGGAAAATAAAAATAGAATTTGCATTAAAAATTAATAACAAGAGCAACAGAACCAGGGATAGTAAAGAAATATATTGAACTTTTTTTCATGGGCTTTCTTCTCTAATATATATATATAATATCACTCCTCCCTAAAGCCCTCCACACCAATGTACCCTCCAAGTTTTAAATATAATTCAGGTTCTTTTTTTTTAAAGGAAAATATTACATAAATTAGAAAGCTTTAAAGCTGATCAAATTCTCTCTTCTCCAGATAAGTGCCTTTTGCATGTATCAATGGAAAATGTTAAAATCAAATATTTTTAAATGGGGAATATTGGTTTATAGATATTTAACATTCCAAAATGAGCAATGAAGAGCTTAAGTATGAGAAGCAGAAGAAATAATTTTACTGAGAAGAAAAGTGAAACTATTCATTTCACGACCAAGAAAGCTATGTATAGGCTCAACATGTTTGCCCTATACTAAATTATTGTTTAAACATTTGAAGCAAAATAAAATTTTTAAAGTTTTAGAAAATTTAAAAAGTGTGAACACATAATTCATTATTTTATGTAGATCCATTAAAAACTCTAAAAGTTTTAAAGTCAAGAAAGAAATAGTTGTAAGCACCATGGATGCCATGCCTCTATACTCCTAAAACCGCCAAAGGGAAGGAAAATATCCATCTTAAACCTAGCATTTTTACCTCACCAAACAATAGACTTCGTAGCTGACTTTCACCAAAGCCACTGATTTTTTTCACTGACCAAATTAAAAAACAAACAAACAAAAACAACCAGATGCCTTTGCATTATGCTGATGTTTATAGAAATCTTTCTGAAAACTTATCATATGCAGCCTATCATCTCACTTCTACTTGTAGGTTTATTCACTATTATTATCTACCCAAACTATGCCTTTGAAAATATTTTTAAATTTACTGCTTCAAAAATGAACCAACAGTGTGTAAGCAGTGTGATCCCCCAGGATCACAGCAGTGAGGTCTTGCTTAGAGCTTGTCTACTGGAGAATGTGGACACGGTTCCTGGCTGTGTACTCTCCATTCCTCAGTGCTGCCCTCCTGAAGTTTCAGTGAATTTTAATAAATGTATTCTCTGCTTAAAACTGAAATATATGCAAGACTCTTAACTGGATAAATACTATTCAGCTCTAACCAAAACCACAAGAAGATTCCACCAAAGTATTTGTCAAATTAGAAGAGGAGTCCTCCCAGAGGCTCCCTTCAGTCACCTCGCCAGTAGCCATCTCCCTTTCTAAACTATTCAACTTTCAGGAACTCCTCTGAAAAGCAAAGTTCACCAGGAGCCAATGTAACATAACAAAAGCCAAGCAAAGTTTTTCTCCACATTGAAACACATCTAAAAACACAGAATAATTTCAATACAGCCATATTGTAGTGTAGGAACACATGCAAGTCTTCCCACACAGTGAAGAATTGCAGAGGGAAGCCCTATTATTAGTCTTCTTGATCTACCTGCACCAAGTTAAAGGCTACTCTACAAGTAGTATTTTAGTTGCCTTTTAGTCCTCACATTGCATGGTGCTTAAACGACGCCATTGCATTGAAAGATGAAATCAAGTCTCTGCAAGCACTTGAGTGTATTCTGAGAAAAGGTCTTTACACCTGCCTTGCCCAGTTAATCAGCTGAAAGAACTAAAAATCTGGGCTACTACCTGAGTGTTTTCTTTCTACAATTTTAAATGACATCGTCCCTAAAATAAGATAATTGGGGATTTTGACTTCATATAGACACAACCTATCAATACCGTTTTCAAAGAGTAGTAGAATAATTTCTGGAGTAAAGTAATAAAAATTTCTCAAATACCTTTTTAAAAACAAAATGCTTCTAAAAACATTTAACTCAAAGCCTTACCCTGAAAAGGCATCTGGAGAACGTTAGTCTGTTATTACTCTCTACTACTATCAACAGTTATTTTAGAAAACGTTGCACTGAACTGTACTGGAATAAAATCATATCAATAAATTCAAAAGCTCTTGGCACACAGACTAGGGTGATCTGCTTTTTGATAAAAGTAATAGAGTGGAATTCATTATTGTAGCTCTCCCACTTAGTACAAACACCATAAAACACGACACAGAAAAAATAAACAAGTGTGTGGCTGTCAGCAGAGCCAAGACAAATTTGGAAACTAAAGAACATCAGCTCTCTTGGCAATGGGGAGTAGTTTCATATACAAGTTGGAAATCTGAGGGAACAAGAGACCTGCCATATTCCGAAGACAGAATCGATAGATAGTTGTGACATCACTAAGCAAATTTTAAACCAAGAGCAGATGCAGAGAGGATACGGACTTGGATATGGAAGCGCCTGGGCCTGTAAGAGCAGCCTTCCTTACGGCCCCTTCAGGGGAACATGTGCTGTACACGCTGAGAACTTCCATTTTCACCCCGGCATCACACATCAAAGTTCACCTTAAGAATGGGCAGGTCACAACACTACACCCCAAAAATAAGTTATAAACAAGGCCCAATAGTATTAACAAACTTAAACCCTCATCAGAAATGGTTTCCTAACCATGTCAGTCAGTTTAACTATTTACTTTGTAATGGAAAGGCAACAATGAAAACAATCAAATATATTTACCACAGCCAGAATGTTCTTCACTAAGACTTACCTGTTACGCCCAGAGTCTCGGAAGCCTTTGGCAAATGGATTCCTATCTATCTTCAAGCGAGTAATCTGCAGAGTGAAGAAAAAAAATCACATTGAATCTTATTATAAATGCCAAGTAAGGTTATTAAAAACGGAAATGAGGGAAGAACTACAAGTAATTCCAAAATTAAATGTCAGATGATTCTATTGTGTTCCTCTCTCCTTTCCCATGTATTTTACTATTTTAGCAGCAAAGCTAGAAGAAAATTTCAGAAATCATTCAAATGTTTATCTGCTATGAAAAAGCATTCCCCACCCCTAATTCAAGTGCTGTGAATAAAGTTTGTTTTGCTGTTAATAGGCCTAGAAAAGGAGATAACTTGCCCTTTCTTTTCCCATCTCTCTGAACTAAAGTTCTTCCCTTTAACTCTGTGATATAGTTGAATCCTGCTTCTCTTACAATGGTAGTGATGGGAAACAGCTCATCTCATTTATATGCCTGAATGTTGTTGAGCTCCTGCATATTCTTCTCTCCTTCAGAGTTAGGTAATATACATTCCATTAACTTTTCTGCCTATTTTTCTGTCTCTCCTTGAACCATCTTTATGAATCTCATCTGAAAATCTTACTTGTTCCTCTTTTATCTATGGAGTCCTGAACTCATCAGAGTACTTAACCAGCAGTAACCACTATTTGAAGGTTCTAATGGGATTATGTCTTATGTATGTAGTAGAAATAAATGATGTTTTAATTTTAACTACAGTTCTAACTTGTTGACTCATAACCAGCTTTTTTCCCACTCAGACCCCAAGATTTGGGGGAGGGGGGTATATTTACAAATAGTCTAATCATCTCCATTAAAAAATTTTTTTGTTATATCATCTTGCAATTAACACTAGTAAACGGCATCTCATCTATTTCTTTCCAGATCTCCACTTTACCCAGAGGAATTTACAGCCTACTTTCTAAGAAGCACAGCATGCTTTGTTTCCTCTGTTCCTTGGTTTAGCAGAATCTACAAAGTTGATGAACTTACTTCTGACTGTACCATTTTGGTTGAGGACAAACACTGTTGGATAACACTAAGGCAAAGAAAGGCATCTTTGGAAAGTCAGCTTCAATGTCCCTATATAGTCCTGTGTGTGCTCCCAGCCACCCTCCAATCAGCCATGTAACACCTGAGACATATGAGTTCCACATGATAGGCTTTTAGTATGTCGATAAAACTACATTATAAATTACATAATGTAAGGGTTTTCTAATTAATTTATTGTGTCTGCCACTCTCTCATTGAAGGAATTCTTTATAATTCATTATAGCTCAATTCTGTGTTCATTAAATAATGTTTTTAAAACATTAAATAATTTAAATATACATTTAAAACAGTATTTTTTAAAAAGAGTAGAGATTTATATAATGGTACCATGTCTAAACAAAGATCTATAGCACAATTAACATTATCATCATTTTTATTACCGACATCACATCTATTGAGTGCATACCATGTATGCTGTACTAAGAGTTTTATGCATATTATTATGTTTAATTCCCATAGCAACTCATATGTAGTTATTATCCCAATTTTATGTTTTCTTTTAAACTGAGGCTTAAGTATCCTGTGATCATAAGGTTTCTTGGTGGTAGAACTGGGCTGGGACCCCAGACTTTAGAGCCCATACTGTTAACCACCAGGCTAGGTTGCTTACCAATTTTCCATAAGTTCTTCAAAATAGCAGCTAGGAAGTTTAAAAATAAACATGATTGCATTTTATCATTATCTATTTCCCCTCTTTTAATTTTTCTACTCTCTTCATCAATTTGTCAGCATTTGTTAAGTGGTGTGAGTCACCAACATGTACCAAGAGCTCACTGTATCTCATTTATTGTATCACAGAGGCTGGGAGAAAACAAACAAACAAAAAAAACCAACATTTAACTCAGTTAATTTTTGTGTGTTTGAGAAAGAGACAGTGACAGAGAAAGAAAATGAAATGGAGTTGGGTACTAAATGACTCTGCTCTTTTCTCCACATGCATTTTATTTTTCCTTTAAAATATTCATTTTCTGCACCTAACATATTTTAAGAATATCTTCCTAATTGTCTCTAGCCCTTCCAAGGGTTAATTTCCTGTTGCTTAAGAAGAGCCTGCAGAAAGGCCTGACAATGTGAGTGTGAGAGGGCAGGGGACCCTTGGCAGTGGGACTGGTGCCTGCACAGGGATGAGAGTGGATGAGCCTCTCAGACTTAAAGGGGGTCACACAGGACAGGATCCACATCTTAGAAGTTTTAAAACAACAGAAACCACAACAGAGAGATTATAAAGCCTTAAACTTTTAACTGAGATGTATAGAAATTGAAAGAGAAACGGAGATCTAAAATAGTTCTGCTGACAACTGACATTCTTTTTAAAAATGTGCCACACACCACATCAGCCTCAACTACATCCCTATTTCTTATAAAAACTGACCAGAACTGCATGGATTAAATAATTGGTTTGATTGAATTCTCCACCCACTTAATACAGCCTTAAAAATACATGTATGCTTACCCAAACAGACAAGAAATATTTCATTTATCAATTTATTCCCAAATTTAGGAAAGGATTACTCCACAATTGCTGATCTCTCAGACTATAAACATATGCATCACCTTCTATCACAATTAAAGTGCATCTTGAAAGAAACCGCCCTTTTTGTAAATATCCCCAAATAACTAAAAAGGATAAATGCTTCTGAAATATTTCTCATTATACATAGGTTGCAGTTTTAAAATAAGGTGAACTACCAAATCCCATGCTCTATGATACAATTCACTTTTCATATTCCACATGTCTATTTCCTAGACAATACACACACTTTCTAAGTTTACTATGACATCATGATTCAATATCTCAAAATGGAAAGTAAGCCTACACTGTCAGTCTTGAGACACATTCTTGTCTAAAAAAAAATCCTCAGTAGACTAGTCTTACTTGAGGAATCATGAATAAATAATTTTTACTACAATAAATATACCCTGAACATCATCTACGACAAATGCTTTCTGGCAATTCATAATGTTTAGATACAGTAAAAGGATAGCTAGCTTTCTATTTACAACTGAAATGAAAGTCTAGAAAGATACCAACTCTTAGAACAATACCTGCTGATTCTGATAGGCCGTGACGGTGGTGAAGACAGTTTCGGGAAAGGAGAAGGCTTTCACTCCCTCCCCAGAAGGCACAGGCTTGATGGGAGAAAGGTCATCTCCACAGTCTTTACGGATGACGTGGACGCGTGGTTGGTATTTGTGCATAGAATGAAGAATAATCTATGTCAAGGAAAGAAAAGCCAAATTCATCAGGAACTTCTGCCCAATCTCAACACCATGACTAAATATTTAATATGTAAATTAAATCACAGTTGGAAATTAAAATTTCCAAGGATGCAGAAAGGCCAATTTAATAAAGTATATCAAAATTGGAGAAGGAGAGCTAGGAAGTTATCTGTTAAATGTGCATAAAAATACAAAAAAAATCATTATTTAGGTGAAACCCAGTGTGTTTAACATCAAATTTTCTGTTTCTAAAAATACAAAAATAAATTCATAAGTATTGTACTTATAATGAGCCAAATTGGAACACGGAGTCGAAACCAATAAAACTAAAAGTGAGATTGAAATGATTATTTAAATTCCACCACACCCATCCCCTAAAAAAATAAATATCTCACACCAGGGTTTTCTTCAGAGAACATTCTTCCCCCATTAATGACTGCAACATGTCTATTCAAGGGCAAAGGGAACTTTAAGGATACCCCAAGGTCTGCCTTATGTGTGGTTCACGAAGTCTCTGGTTTGTCTAGAGAGCCCAGTGTCCATGCCTCCATCACAACAAGGCTTTCAAAACCCCAGACTGGGGGATAGGAAAACTGGTGCTCTCAGACTCTGCTGGGGGAATCTGATAATACGCTCCAACTACCTTCTACCCAGGGATTCCACTTATGAGAATTTATCCTAAGGAAATATTCAAAATCCAGAAAAGCATTTCATGTACAAAGATTTGCAATGTGCCCTTTACAACAGTGGAAAAACTATAAAGCACTCACATAAGTAGATTGGTTAGGTTAATGAAAGACAACACAACTGGATATGGTACTATTCAGCCATTACTAATGCAGTTTAGGACATTTTTAACCACATAATAAAATGTTTCCTTTCAAATATTACACGATAAAAAAGGACCCAAGTTGTTTATAAACTAATCAAAACTATATAAAAATAGACAGTAAAAAGGACCCATACCAAGATATGAACAGTGATCATCTCCGAATGATGGGTTTATGGGTGAATTTTTTTTTCTCCTTCTTCTTTATATGCTTGCTTTCAAGGTTGAGGAAGTGGGGTAAAGAAATAGCCTCACCCAAGAGGATTTTCTATTTGCCGCTGGGGCTCCATATTCATGAATGGGTTTAGTTAACAAGCCTCTATCTTTCCTAAGCTATACAAATTGAATTCAGGTTTGGGGGTGTTGGAGTTTGGAGGGGAAATGCTTAAACAAAAGTCTTGGAAAAATACAGTGGTTGACCTACCTCGTGGTTTTCAGGATTCAAGCAGTTTAATAAGCCAAACTCAGGAGCTTTGGTCAGCCCAAACACGAAGAGCCCTCTACTGGGACAGTGCATCGCTGCCACAACAGGATGTCTTTACACTCTGGTGGTACCCAACACAGTGGTGAGGCTTTTTTTGTTTTGTATTTTTACCCTAAAATTTCCTTTCTATTGGGGGAGGAAATGTGTGGATGACAGACATGCCTAAGGGGGAGGCAGCATAAGTATGAGGAAAGGAGAAGAAGGGATGGCAGCCCTCAACATCACCTGGGGATACTCTGCACCCTCTAGGAAAGTCTCTTTCCAAGTCTAACAAAAGACAGTTTTCAGTAACCCATTAGGGGCCCACAAAATCAATTTTCTACCAAAAATGTTTAAAATAAATGAAATTATAAAATAAAGCAGAAAATAGAGTGTGCTACTTGTAGTAAGGGTAAGTATTGTTTTTGCAAAACATTGTTTTCTGTGTGCACGTGGTCATACCATAAAATGTATGTCTGACTATGAGTCAAGTGAAGATCTGAAAAACACAGAAGCAAGATTTAATTCTAATGATCAGCAACTTCCAGAGCAGAAGAAAAACTGGAGAAAGCTACTTCACATTAAAAAAACTAATTAAGTGCATAACTAATTTCAGAAGACTACAGTGAACTGACTTGAAATGAAGGAAATGAAAACTGATTTGAGTTTCTGTTTACCGGTTAATGAAAAGAAGGTTCCTGTTTTATGAAGTATTTGTTCTCTCAAGAAGATTTCTCCACATAGCTATCTACATTTTAACTTTATTTGTCTATATCCTTATCCTCAGTCATCAAAATGACTTAAGGTGAGGTATACTGAGGTAGGATACAGAAATAGCTGATCTATGCCTATGTTTGCACATTAAAGGACAACTGCCAATAAAAATCTCAAGAGTAATTAAGCAAAATAATTTTCAATATTCTCTATAGGAATTTAATATATCCCTGGAAAATTTTAGGGAATGCTAAACAAGCCTCAGTTCTTCTTTATAACATAGCATTATTTGATCTTTAATGAACTATCAAACTTATAATGATGAGCAGTCAATAACAGTTTGCTTATTTAATAGAACAAGTAGAGCAAGGAGAACCACTGGCCTCATAAACAAGGAGACCACAATGATAATGCCCATCACCGAAACTCAAATAATTACATCTGATCTGCATGTTCCATGCTTTCTGATCTATTTAGCTGGAGGATTTCTTTTCTTTTTGGCATTACATAGTAGTACAGATATCTCGTGGGCCTATCTCCATAATACAGAGTGCAGCTTTTCAGGTTCATACACATTTTTTTTCCATTTTAAACACACTAGGCTCGAGTCAAACGAAGCATGATATTACTTATTTCTGATCTGACGGGACAAAAAATGCCTGTGGTTTGACAGACACGCCAAGCTGTACCTTATAAAACAGCTCAATAGGGAAACACTACCTGCTGACTCTGGAAATTTTCTAAATGACCTAAATTCAGTGTTGATACAAGTCAAGCAAAGTACCAATGAAGAGAGATAACAAAAACCTGGCCCCCTGTATTTTTGGTGATACCAAGTAATGGCTCACTTTAAATGGTAGGGGTCAATGCAGTAACCTCAAGTTGCCAGCTCCACAGCAAGGCGACCTTGGTTTTGTTTCAGGCATGAAGCTGTATATAAAGCACTCCTTAGAAATATGTACTTTCAAGTGAACCAGCTTCATTTGATTCACTCAAAATTCTCTGGCTCCAACATAACCCATGAGGAAACTAAGCCTCAGAGAGCCAAAGTGACTTGCCCACTAACATGAATTCGTTGGACCTCTAAGCTGTTACAAGTTCTTGCCATCAAGATCTTAGAAATCTCCCCTGTAATACCTTGCTTCCCCACTGCATTTTCAAGCAGGAATGAGAAGATTATGAGGGCAAACTTAGAGGTAGGGTTCCTCTATATCATTGAATCCTCAGCAGCTGGAAAACAGACCCTTTCACAGGTACCCTGGCTGTGGCTGCCTGGCCATACTTCCTGCCAACGCAGGGAGGTACACCTGTTAAATGTCTTCTAATGAGGTTAAAGGTACAACTGTTAAGTGTCTTCTAATTCTTCAGGAAAATGCTCATCTAAATGTTTCCCTCTAGAGCAGTGATGGCAAACCTATGACATGCGTGTCAGAGGTGACACGCGAACTCATTTTTTTGGTTGATTTTTCTTTGTTAAATGGCATTTAAATATATAAAATAAATATCAAAAATATAAGTCTTTGTTTTACTATGGTTGCAAATATCAAAAAATTTCTATATGTGACACGGCACCAGAGTTAAGTTAGGGTTTTTCAAAATGCTGACACGCCGAGCTCAAAAGGTTCGCCATCACTGCTCTAGAGAGCAAATTCCAGGAGAATAGGGAAACATGCACATGATGAGAAGGAAATAACCCCACCCAAGCACGCTAAACATCTGCACCTCGGTAGATCAGTCTTGGTTTGTATACAATCCAACATAAAGCTGGCTATAGATTCCCTGAAGAGCAAGTAGGGATTATAAATTCCTTACAACATTCAAAGACTAGCTGTGGAGCAGTGGGACATTTCCACTCTAGATTCTTAATGTTCCTCTCTAAACAATTGGAAAAATGAAAAGTCACTTTGGGGAAAACCACAATGACACCTAATCTCAGATCTCAGGTAAACCTAGATCCAGTCACAGCCCTGTGAGAATTTGATTCCTACAATCACTATGGTTTTACTAAAAGTTTCAGGTCTACATGAAGTTCTCACTGAATTGAACACTTGTACATCTTTAGTATAGTAAAACTGGGAACTGGGAGGACAGAAAACAATTTAGGGGAAAAAAAGCCAAATTAGAAAATCACTTCTCATTTGAGTCTTTAGCTAGATTAGTTAGAGATTAGTATCACTTCCTTACAACTGGGGGTGGGGGACCACAACCATACAAGGGCAGAGAGGGGAGTCCCTGAGAGCTCTCTGCAGGAGGACAGGAACTTCTGAATTAGAAAGCCCTACCATAATGATGCCACTGTCTTCCCAGACCTGAATCACATCAACAGAAGAATAAGAAACAAATTCCTAATCTCTAACCTAAACTAATTTGGGGCCATTAAACTGAGTAAATAAGCTCAACAGACACTCTCTTCAGGAAGCCTCCTCAGTCTCTCCTGGTGGGTATAAGGATGCATCTGAACTTCTGTGAGCTGACAGCATGATTATTTGTGTGTGGGTCTTCTCTCCCCATCTAGGCTCCAAGACCATGGCTTCTTATCTAACACTAGTGGCCCAGTGCATGGATTCGTGCACATAGAAAGGAAAATAATTAGAAGAAATATTGTAATATCACTATTTGCCCTTTCTCTATAATAGAAGTGTCAACCAAAGTCACGATCAACAATGACAGATTGAAACACAAGCATGTGATTGGCACCAGAGAGAGCTTTATATGTATTGCACATGTGCATGTCAACTTAGCCTTTTATATATATAGAATAAACTTGCTTAATTAGATCTGCTTTCTGATTTAGCTAAACTTTTTCCAGCCCAGTGAAGCATCCCAACTTCTCTTTCAGGTAATTGTTAGCAACACAGCAATAAATATCAACACAAAGCATGTAGATCACGCAGGGGGAACAAAGGGTAAAATACATAACTGCAGCAGTATTTGACTATATTCTGTGCAGTCAGAAAACCTGAAGTCATTTTCAAGTTCCACCATTTCTTACTTCTTTTCAGTCAGGTCAAGTTTCTAAACTTTCTAAATCTCCGTTTTCCGGCTAATGAAAAGAACTGAATCTCCTATCTACCTACTCCAGGACTTCTGTGAGGATCAAATGAAATGAGGCACATGAAAAAGCTTCACAGACATTTGGTTAAAGTGTAAAATGTTTGCACCTGGCTATAAAACAATAAAACAAGTCGTGTTCCTGGGCTGAAGAAACTCCAAGGAGGCTAGTTGCTAGGGAGAGGAAGCCAGGCATTGCTATTACCCCACACCCTCAGCGACCATTTCCAAGCTGGGCTGGGCTGTGGGCCACAGTTTGCACCATGAGGTCTTGGCAGTGTTGACTGTGATTTGGTGGGCTGTTGTTTCAGGGTGGTGGCGGGGCCTGTGTTCCAATTGGTGGAAGCCGAGTGTCGGTTTGTTGGTGCCAGGTCTGTGGTGCTGTTTCTTTTTAAATGGCCAGTGCACATCACAGCAGCTCCTGCATTGAGTGTCTGCCCCCTGGTGGTCAGTGTGTGTCATAGCTACTGGTCGGACGGATGGTCGGACAGACACTTAGGCTTTTATATATATAGATTTTACAAAGCCTTCAAAAATATGTTTTTACAAAAAGAGCATTTTCTCTCCTACATTCTCTTCTAGTATCAACTGATCCAATACATTTTTACCACTTGCCAAGGCAATTTCCTTGTTACCAAAATGCATAAATATATATCTTTCTTTCCTTGTTCCCCACACTATTAATTGTCTCCCTTTATTAAAGTATTATATCTACCACAACTTTACAAGAAAAATTTCACTGGTAGATGACACACTTATCTGACTATTTTGCCTATTTTCTGCTATGTTTTTGTTTTTCCTAATTGTGAAATATAATAATCATTTAGTTATAAACAACTGAGTTTCAATTTGTAATGTTTTTTGTTTTAAACAAATACTGTGTGATAATTAATTTTATGTTTCAACTTGGCTAGGCCATGGTACCTACATATTTGGTCAAACACCAGTCTGGATGTTGCCATGAAGGTATTTTTTAGATGAACTTAACATTTAAATCAGTAGACTTTGAGTAAAGCAGATTGCCCTCAATATTGTAGGTGGGCCTTATCCAATCAGTTGAAGGCTATTAAGAGAAAAAGACTGAAGTCCCTGAGGAAGAGGGAATTCTACCTCCAGATTGCCTTCAGACAAGAACTACATCATCAGTTCTTTCCTGGGTTTCTAGTCTGCCAATCTACCCTGCAGATTTCAAACCTACCAGCCCAAAAATGGTATGAGCCAATTCCTTAAAATAAATCTCTCTATATACATTTATATAATCCTATTGGTTCTGTTTCTCTGGAGAATACTGTTTTAAAGTCTAGTAAAATTACAAAATTAAAAAAATATATAAATTACTAGATCTGTATCTAGTATTATAGATGGTGGATATTAGATATAAAGCCACTAATCTAATCTGAAAGCATCAGAATTATAAAATGATTTAAATTATTAAATTATTGAATTATTAAAAGGCGTTTGTACCTTATCTATGACAGTATGTCGCTTTTAGATCCAATTATCTCTTTAAAAGATATATTCTTAAACTGTTGAACTCAGAAAAATAGAGTATATTTAAGCTTTTTAAAACAAGTAACACTTAATGGCATTTATTTTTTAATTTTCTATTCCAAAAAAAATAAGATCCTTCGATGGACATGTTGGCAACATATCAAGTCAGCTCCCTCAATGAGACTGAAGTCAACTGAAAAATAATTGGCATATCTCAACTGTGTAAATAAAGAATAAAAAGAAGAGAAATGTATTAATGCACTAAAATATAGGGCATGAAGTTGGATTCAGAAATGAATCAACCATGCTTCCTTTCTAATTGTTTTAAATCATAAAAGGCAACAAATAAACAAAAGCATCAACAAAACAAGACAGATGTGTCTTAAAATCTAAATACTGCCTTTGTACCACAATGAAATTTGTACTTGAATGCTTTCATTAAGGTCCATTGCTTAAATTATTGTCTAGCAACTTGCAAATCTTATCCTCTCATCACAGTATTACTAGTTTATGACAGTTTGCACTTGTGCTTTAAAAGATTTGCTCATAAATATTCTATCGTTATGTCACTCCTTTGAGAAATGAACTAGTTGGTTCATCATTTTATGTATGAAATACTAGTCAAAAGGCATTTTAATCCTGCATCAATCAAACCCCTCTCAAGTAATAGAAACCTAATAGAAAGAGCTAGCTTTCAACGGAAATCAGCATATACCCAGAGTTACTTATTTATTAAAATAATGTAGAAGTCTTGCTTATAAACAATATCACATAAAAATTAATAAGGTGCTAAAATGACTATATTATTGGAATAGCTGGCTTTGACTTACATATCATATTTCAGCAGTTTTAAGACTAAAAGGAATTATTATTTTGACACATTCAATGTCATTACAAAACAATTGGGAGTTTGCAGATGGAACATTGTTGAGAAGCAATGAGCCTCAGCTGGGAAAAGAGCTGGATGCAGGGAAGACACAATAAATCATTATTCCAGTTAAACCAACTGGATTCATATTCAGAGTATAATGATTAGCACCTCATGGGATTTCAAACAAGTGTTTTGGCTAAATAGTCTGCCTGGGGTACTTTCATTCTAATACAGATGTAGTTTCTTGTTTTAATATATTTAATGCTTCATAGTATACTCTAGCCACAGGCATAGTCTCTGATGCAAATACCACCTTGATTTTGCACAGCTTATGCACATACTGATCTACCAGGAAAGTATGATCTTAGAAAAGTTCATTTCCTTCAGTCCAGCACAGTATGGATATGGGTGCACCATCCAATGGTGGCGAATTATAGAGGCCATCTACTCACATGGCCTTGGTCATCCAGTTCATTGTTGGTGAGCTTTAGCTTGTCGAAGCTGATCACTTGTCTCATCCAAGTCTCCCCTGAGGCAGGCGAGTCTGGATGAATATACACCCGGGGTGGCACAGGGGAGTCAGCGTTTCCAGCCACCATCCATTTAGAGCTGTGGTAAACATACCTAAAAGGCAATGACAAGGCATAGTATGTGAACTATTGTTCTTAGAATCTAACTCAGCAGAATTAGACAACATTTTAAGTCTAATACAATAATTTCCTCTTTACACCAAGGCATTTAAAATAAGATTTCGACAACTTAAAAAAAAACACCCTGGCCGAAACCGGTTTGGCTCAGTGGATAGAGCGTCGACCTGTGGACTGAAAGGTCCCGGGTTCGATTCCGGTCAAGGGCATGTACGTTGGTTGTGGGCACATCCCCAGTAGGAGATGTGCAGGAGGCAGCTGGTCGATGATTCTCTCTCATCGATGTTTCTAACTCTCTATCCCTCTCCCTTCCTCTCTGTAAAAAATCAATAAAATATATTTAAAAAAAAAAAAAAAAAAAAAAAACACCCTGAGGCAGCAGTGGCCTACTGACCACTCAAGGTGGTGTATGAAGGGTTTAGTGAAAATATGCATACTGCCACCACCATAAATGCAAGTATCTAATTCTTATGAATTACACTTACTCATGTTAGATATTGTTCAACTGATGTGAAAAACTATTAAGTTGTCAAGCTCACCTTTAAGTAAATTTCAAAAATACTTAAGAGTTATACCTAAAGGTGTCCTGCTTCTTTATCAATTCCCTTTTTTAGGCTTATGTACAAGTTGATAAGATAGATGGCAGAAAGGCAAAAAGAAATTGTCAGAAGTTTCAGTAATGTTTATTTTCATAGCAAAAAGTTCTATTATCATTTAGAATTAGTTTTTCTAACTCTATCACACTACAAAATAAGGATAAAGTATTCCGTTTAATTTTTAGTTTGAACAATCATAAAATGTAGAATTTTCTCTCCTACATATTTCTTTTTTTCCTGTTGTAAGAAAATGCTGAAAATTATTATTAAATACCACTAATTAAAATATTCATCAAACTTTGAAAATTATGGGAGATCTAATTAATATTACTCTCCTAATTAAGAGGTAAAACATCGTATTCTGTTTGTTTATATGTATCAAAATAGTGACTCTAAAAATAATACATCTAAATCCCAATGTTTCAAGTAATCCTACATTCAGATTATTATTTGTGCTAACTTAAAACACACTAATTCAAAAACTAGAAACTAGTATGTCAATGACTAACTTAGGAATAGAAAATAAATTACTGTGCATACTTTGTTGTTTTTCTTCCATTTGTGTTTTAAAATATAGCATACAATGTAAAGGAACAATTTACAAATAGTCTCAGAGAAATCTACCTGTGTTGTATGCAATTTTTTTTTAAATAGCATGAAACACTTTCATAACATCTCTGGTGAGACCCTGTTTCAACTACGGTCACATATTTCACTCTATTTTGAGCTCAATATGCCTTCTATTCTTGAATTCCTTTTCTTGGAAGAAAACACAGTCACATAATTAAGAACAATTAAAAGATTCCTTTATTTGGTATAGTGTAATTTCAATAAATAAGTTCCTAAATACACAGGCTTTTGTTAATATTAATTTTACATTCTAATAAGTCACAATCATGTTTAACTTGATCAAATGCCACTCTCTGATAGCAGAGAATAAGCCAAAAAAAATTTTTTCTATTAATGCTGAAAAAGTTGGAAAATCAAATGCAAATCTTGGAAATGCAAAAACAACAACAAACAAAAAAAATTTAAAACCTGCACTATGGATAAAGAGTTATTACCAAAATAGAGTAACATTCTCTATCAAAACCTTGAAAAAGTATGCACATTGAGTAGTTCAAAAATCCACACCCACTAAGAGAAGAAATGTTACATGCTACATATTCTTTGTGCAACATTCTAAATACAAATGCTAAAAATAAATTTCTTGGGAAGCAATATAAGTGAAAGCAAATTTATGTTTTACAGTTTGATCATTTAAAATTTGGTATCTTAATACTAATACTTGAAATTGTGCTTGCATTTTATGTAAAAATAATAAGAATCAGTTATGTAAAACAAACCATCCAAAATATATGGAAGAGATCTGAAGAAAGAAATATGAGACAAACTTAGTTGAGAAAGGAAATAATTTCTTAGCTTATTAAGAACTACATTATCTTCCTCAGCACAAAACCCACATAGAATATGAATTTTAAACCAAGTATATTTAAAAAATAAACTTCATGCAGTAGATAATTTTATCAAAACTCCCTAATGAGGTAATTAAAATAAGCAATATAATGTATACACAAACACAAATAATTAAACTGTCCCTTTTATTACCCAATTTTTAGTATTCCATATGTGCCTGTACTAATTAAATCTGTATACTTTGACACCATAAACCTGTTTCCAAAAAGCAACTCCTAAATTTTAAAAGATAAAAACCAAATCTGATTTCATTTAATAACTTACTGAATGCTCTAGGTATTTATATAAAAGAAAAAAAAACAGAAACAAAAAAACAAAATTTAGAGCAGTAATTTCCGGTCTCTCACTCAAAACCTCCTTTTTTATGTTATTATTTTTAACAGAAAAATAAAAAGAATAATCATTAAAAATTATTGATTTGCTTAATTTCAGGAGAAAAAGAGCAAAGGTTGGTTTGATACTGAAGACTGTATATCTTTTCCAACTTTACTTGATGCCTGCAAAATCCAAATACTATAGTTTTTTTAACTACCAAGCAAAAAAACAACACTAAGGTAATTAATTCATTACCAATTTAAAGATGTCTTAATTTCATAATGGATTATGAGATTTTATTTTTCTAAATTATAAAAAAATCTTCAATCATTTCCTCAAAAATGAAAAGCCTTCAAACAGGTACAATTTTGAACGTAATCAGAAAAAGTGAATTTATTAAAAGATAAAAATCACAAAGAAAACAAAACATTTTATTAAATATTACATATATGTTCAAATTTAACATTTCCTCTCAAACTTCTAATCAAAATGTGAATCAGTATAAAAAAACAACTTGGTTTAACATCGCTAAACTAGCTCCTATTAAAAGTCCTCAGTCCTTAAAAGACATTTCTGTATCTATAAAAAGCAAAACAAGAATTAAGTTTCCACATTTACTATAAAAGAAGGCATCCTCTGGGCTATTGGATCTGAAAGGTCCTGGATTGTGGTTCTGGGAATTCTACAGGCTTTTGGAAACAAACATCATAGTCACAAATCAAACAGACATAGCCTGTAAAATCTTAGCGTTTTCCTATTCTCCTCTAGCCATCCAATCACTATACCTGTATCTCTTGTTGTCCACTGGCACAATATCCATGGCAATGTAATATTGCTGGTGAGGATCTAATCCTGAGATCTTCACTCTCATTGCTGGAAACATGCGCCTATTTATAAGAGAGGGGAGGAAAAGGGGTTTTGGTTTGGGTTTTGCTTGTGATAACACACGGAGAATGAATAAGCAAAAGTAATCTCCAGAATCTGAATTTTTCACATGAACAAATGTATACCATTCGCTTTGGTAATTTAATTCAAAGAATCAGAACAGGGGACATAGCAAAACCGAGGCTTTTAAATGTAATTGGTTGCACCTTATATTTGCATCTGTGTTTACTAAAATGTCAGTATAGCTAAGAGCAAAAATAATTGTATACATTGAAGGAGTCAAGGCACTAAAGAAAGCACTTTAAAAAAATCAATAAGCAAATTTGCTTTAATAATACAGATAATAAAATGTCCCAAATGGTAGAAATAGAAATTTTGAATTTCTGAAAGTGATAAAACATGTTATAATGTGAAATTTTAAAAGGGTTATAAAAAACCACAAGGAGCCAATGTGCCATGCTATAACCAAACAATATGTTCTTTATTGAGACAGGACTTCCTGTCTGCAGCACGGTAAAGGTGAAGTGCAAAAGTTGCTCCAAATTTGAAAGGTATAGTAAAACTTCTTTATTGAAAGCAGAAACTAAGCACAATGTATATTTACCAAATCGTTCCTTCCCCTACCATAACCTGAAAATACTTTCTCATTTAACCACACTTACTCAAAACATTGCTAATTAAGAAAAATGAAAATCTGAATTTCTCTTGGCTTCCCACAGACGCATCATAGGAGATGCTAAACTAAATGCACCTATCTTTTAAAAATGGCACAGTAGCAAGGCATACAACAGCAAATTATTGTATATAAAAAAACAAATAGAGCAGTTCTTTCTTTTTTAAAAAAAATTCATCTAATGATGTATGTCTAGGATCCTTCCAGCTAATCTAATTTTTGCCAATTTTCCTTATAACACGAATTTTAGTACTGTTATCTACCAATTTTTTTCCTATAACAATGCCATTAAAGACCACTTGCACAAAAAAGAAAGTCCATTATTCCTAACTAGGCATGAGAGCAGTTTAATACGCTGGTTGTTTTAGTGTTATTTCAGTGCACCTGTAAGATAAAGAGTAAAGGTCTTTAACTACATCCTTTATAAGACAACTGTTGCTTTGTGTTGTTGAAAACTGAATTTGGATCATTACTAATAGCTCTGTGAAAATGTAGAAGGTAGCATATGGATTCAATAAAATATGTTTTTGTAATTTCTAATAAGTTTGGATACTTTTATGCTATCCAGGTTTTTGCCATGTGTACGCCCTGAAAGAGTGGTGTGTGCTTTTTTACCTTCCTTTTAAGGAAGATATTATTCATAGATTTCACTGCACTAAATGAACTGAAAACTTTAAAATGCAAATATTTCGGTGCCTCCTTCAAATTACTATGATCTGGCCCAAAAATCCATTTGTTTTACAGAGGAATGTGCAAATTTCACTTTCAACAAAAAACGGATATAACTTCTTACAAAAATTTTTAGAGTTCTTCAGCAAATTTAGACTAACGTGTTGGATTTCATTGAGGAAAAAATGTTAGCTGCGTAACTGCGGGTCTACAAAAGTGGTTTTTAAAAATCAAAGGTAACCATTTTTCAAGGATTAAGCATGCATTACCAGAGATTCCAGTAATTTTTCATCCTAGTCTAATATCAAAATAGCACAACACACCACGTTCTCACATTGCAAGGAAATCTTTTGATAAAGGACCAAAATGGGTAAATTTCAAATCTGAAAAGGCAAATTAGATTGCTAAAGAGTAAACTGCGTTGGTTAAAAGGCGAGGGGAGTAATCTGTTCCACAGTCCCAGAAGCGATAACTAGAGCCTAAGTCAATGTCTGGACAGATGTAAATATGATCACGAATCTGTAACTACCCTGCACGCAGCGTATCAATAGAACCGCTATAGCATGTTGGCGGCGGCCCTGATTTCCTCCTGAGCGTCCAACAAGAGGGCGGCCGGACTATGCCCTTCACTGACTGCGTAGGTAGGGAAAGACAGTCTCAGAAGTGATCCACTACCCAGGGCCTTGTCCTTCTCTACACGGAAATGCTTACTGGAGACCAACCTCCTCCCCCCTGCCTGACCCACCCAGGGGGTGCGGTGAGGGGCCATGCGCGACAGCTCGCCCTTTACCTGCCCGCCTTGGTGATGATCATCTCTGTGCCGATCTCGTGAAAGCGCTTCCAGAGCTCAGCTCCCTGCAGATCCACCCGCGGGGCCTGCGGTGATGGCAGCGGGGTCCCAGGCCTGGCCAGGGCCGGAGCCGGGGAGCCCTTTCGAGAGCCTCCCGGGGACGCCAGAGGGGACGAGCCCTGCAGGAAGCCGTCCTCACAGCCTCCTGGGCAGCAAAGAGTAGACAGGGGTAACCGGTGAGGGCCCGAGAGAGGAATCTTGATGGGGAGATGGACCTCGGGAGGGAGGCTGGGGAGAGGTAAAGGACCAGGAGGAAAGGGGAAACCTTCCCGTCATCGGGTCCTTCTAACAAACAGGTCCACCGTTAAACATCCGCACTGCCCGCCAAAGGGACGCTTGACCTCCAAGTCCCCGAGAGGCGTGCGGGCCGAGTCCACCCCACCTCCGCCCCGCCAAGGCCCCAAAATAAGTTTCGCGCGGCCACCGGGGTCTGGGATGCGTGCCCAGTGGAGCCTGAGATGGACTCCGGAGTTCAGATCCCCAGTGCAAACCCCGACACACCCCGCGCCCCTCGCGCGCTCCCCGCAAAAGCGCCTAGTGCCGGGACCCTGGAGGTAAGCGCCAGGGCCTTGCTTTGCAATGGGCGTCCGTAGCGCCTGGCTTCGGGCTGGGGCTGAGGCATCCTCTAGAAACATTTCGAAATATTTCTTGCTCCGCTCTTGCCAAATTCCCCGGTCGCCCTGAGCTTTTCAGCCAAACAGCTAGCTAAGGACAGGAGAAGAGCGCGGAAAGCAAGCCCACGGTCGTTGTCGACCTTGCCAGCGGGAATCTAGATTGTAAGGGACGGGAAAGGTCCAGCTAGCCCTCGGGAAACCACGTTTGCACATACGCAGCCCTCTTCCTGGTTTGCCCAAATGTTTAGGGCATTCGTTCCGGTTTGGGGGGATTATACCGTCGCTCCCTCCACCTCCAAGCTTTTAAAAGCTAGGAAAGAAAACAAGAGCACCCATGGGCTGGAACCTCAAGTGAGGCAGATGCCCAAAGCGCAGGTCTGCACGGCGGAGCGCCGCAAACAGCAGCCGCAGAGGGCGCGGACCGCCTAGCGGGCGGCGGCAGCCTAAGCAGCGAGGCTGGACGCGGCGTTTTAACCGTCTGGAGGGCGGCACGAGTTGCGCGGCGAGATCGACCCGGGCGGCGGCGGGCTTTGCGCCCCGACACCCACGGCTGGTGCGTTAGTGGCTGAGTGGCCTCCGGCGCGCAGGAACACCGCACTCGCGCACGCCCACAACTCGCAGAAGTTCGGGTTCCCCGCGGCCGTGGGGGCTGCCGGGACCCGGAGGGGACGCGCCGCGAAGTTGGGTGGGAAGGGGCCGACTCACCCGCGGCTCCGCGGGAGCTGCAGCTCAGCTCCAGGTCAGCGCAGCTGCGGGCGGGCCCGGATGCCGCCCCAGCCGGCGGCGGGAGAGCATTGCCTTCGTCTCCCTCGGGGGAGCCCTTTTCGCCGCCGCGGCTGCAGCCTCCGTCCTCTACGGCCACGGCTGCCTCTTCCGCGCCCAGCTTCCGCCGCTTCTTCTGAAGCTGTTGCTGCTTCTCCGCGCCGATCAGCGCCTCCACGGAGAAGGCGTGCGCCTTAAGGCTTAACATGCTGCACGGCGAGCCCCTCCGCTTCTCGGCCATCCCCGCCGCCCGGCGCCCGCTCGCCCCTCGCTCATATACACTCACACGGGCACACACGCACACTCGCTCTCCTTCCCCCACCAAAATTTGAACGACGGTGGAGGCCTCTCGCGGGCCGAGAACTGCCCCCTTCCCCGCCGCGGGCAAAAACAAATTTGGCGTTTCCTCTTTCTCGCTCGTGTTGGGATCCGAGGAACCAGCGGCGCGCCCGCCAAGTTTCCTCTCCTCGGTCTCTCGTGCGCGCTCTCACTGATGCACTCCTTCGCTCCCACCCCTTCCACCTCTTCCTGCTCTTCCAAGATCTGCCTCAACTGATGCGCCAAAGAGGACTAACAGGGGTAAAAAACACTCTGCGGACACAAATTAGGGATTGTAATTGAAATTTGTTGCCTTGATCTGTCAGCACTTCCAGTCGGGAGAGCGGTGGGAAGAACTTGCTCATTAGTGTCAATAAAGCGGCGGGGGTGGAGTACGGAGCCCTGTCAATCACCGAGAAGGCCGGCCAATCAGGAGGCGCCGACTCCGTGCAGCCCGCGCCCACTTCCTTACAAGGTTGCAAAAAACCTCGAGTGAAAAGCGCCGCCGTCTGGCTTGGACGTGCCAACCCCTGGGAGCTGGACCCGGTCAGTCTACTTGCGGCCAGCCCAGTCCAAGCCCCAGTCTCCAGCTTTCCTCACCAGGACCTGGAACCGCTGAGGTTTCTGACATTAAACCGAGATGATCACCAAGTTAAACTATCCGGGATATTTTAAGAAACCTTACACTCCCTTATCACTTCATATTGCTACAACTCTGAACATTGCGAGGAGTAGGGAAAATTCACATCTACCAGGCCCATCTCTTCTCATTTAAACATTCCTGCACCCACTGCTCCAGGTGTTTATTTGTTTGTTTGTTTGTTTATGTTTTACTTGGTGGATATTTCTTGGGGAGGGAGTGGGAATCCAGATGTATTTAAATCCTATATATTTAGGAAAACAAAATAAGCTCAGCCCCTCATATGAACTAGTGGGTAAAAGTAAGCCCTTTCTTGGAGTCTCCCTTTTCTTATAAACGTGATAATTAAAAACGTAGGGCCTGAGACTCTAATGATAAGGACTTAGTTTTAAAACCCCTAAAAACTTCCCAAAGAGAGAAGTTTTAAGATGCAGTAGGATTTCCCATTGCAGGGTTTTTAAACGCCTGTGATTTAACCTGACTTCATTTTTGTCCTGCTTTAGACAGGTTGCCTCCCCCTCCCCCTTAGGCTTTTAAAGAGCAAACTTGTTTCTTTAAAACAATTTTTTTGAAAGAACAGTGTTTTTAAAACAAATAATGCTGAACATATATCTGTAGAGTTGTTTTGTAATTTCAACACGACTTTTTGTCAGGATTAACAAAAAATGGTTTTGATGTAAGTAGAGTAAATCTCTTGTGGAATAAAAGATGCATGATGCATAATACTCTTAAACGTTTGATATAAAATAGACAAAGGGTTGTGTTCCCTCTCCCTCGCTCAGTTTAACCTCCACAGATGTTTGCTGCCCTATTATCTCTGACTTCTCTCTGAGCTTCCAGCAGAGTGATTCTGGGAGTCGTTTTGCCACTTTGATCTTTCTTGGGAAGCTCAGAGAACGAAACCAGGAGAGGCAAGCCGGGAGCGGGAACCTGAGCAGGAGGTGCCCAGGAGCAGAAGCATCACCTACTCAACGCCTAGCGGGGCCTGACAGCCTGGGGGCAAAACCGACTCAGTAACAATCTTATGGAAGAGGCCCTGCAAAAGGCTTGAGAAAAGGATTCAACTGGGAGGAGTTGTTTTGCATTTGTTTAAAAAAAAAAAAAAGCCTTGCAAAGGACAGCGGAGTGTCTCAAAGCCCCGCGGCGCCCCAGGCGGGTATTAAAAGTTAGCCTGGGTTTCTGAAGCCTGGTGGAAGGAAGACGCCAGCAGGGCTTGGGCCTGGAATGGGAGTGGGTGAGGAAGTCGGGGAGGAAGACTGTAGCCGACTAAGCAGAGGCCTCTCCAGGAGCTGTACGTGGCTAAGGAGTGTGTGGCCCGCATTCGCCGCCTGCGAGGACGCAGGGCCCCGCTCCAGGCCCCAGCTCTCCGTGACCCGGGGCTCTTCCCAACTTCCTTTGGGGCCTCAGAGAGTTGGAGGCGCTGAGGTCCAGGGGTGGAGTCGCCGGGGCCCTCAGCCTACTCAGCCCCACGGTAGGGGAAAGAGGAAACCCGCGTCCGCGAGGGACCAAGGCGATTTCCAGGGGCGAAGCCAGCTTGGTAGATAGGTTCTTGTCCATCTGTATTCCCCGCGGCTCAGATGATAAAGGAGGGACTACAGGAGCCTGCAGGATGCTCTCAGGAACCCACAGGCCCCAGACCTCCTCTATGCCTCAGCCACTTCTTTCGCTTTTACCCGAGGCAGTAAGGGGCGCAGACCCCCAAACGCGCGAACGCCGGGGAAATGGTGTCCACATAGACGACCAGCTGGAAAGCCACGCCTCACAGACACCCACGATGTCAGATAAAATGTGTCCCTTAGAAGTAATCCAGGTGTGCACTGGGCGCAGGGGCAGGACGAAGGCGTGGTTCCCCTTAGTCTAGGACAGGTCCAGGCTGAACTTTGCGAAACGGAGGGACGTAGTCGCCCCCGTCGCTCGCCGCCTTCTATTGGCGTTGAATCAAGCTCAGGCTCGGGGACCCAGCAGGACCAGCTGCCCCCCCACGCCGTGAAGCGGCGGGTCTCAGACCTCACCGCAGCCCTATCTTCGCTCCCGAAGAGGGGGCCTCAAACCTCTCCCGGAAGCGGGAGGGAAGGAGGATCTGGGATGGCCAGCGGGCAGAGATATACCTAACAAGGCGTTTTCTCAAAAGCGTGGCACTTGTGCAAGGGCCAAGCCATTGCGAGTAAAGAGAGCAAAGCAAGCAGAGACAGGGCGCGAATTGGCAGCAGGAAAGCTCGGCGCGTGCGTGCGTTCGCACGTGTCTATATGTCCGTGTGTGTGGGCGCGCGTGTGTGCACCTGCGCGCGTGTAAACGTGGGTGGGGGCGTAAGTACCAGCGAGCGTGTGCCTCCCGTCACTTTGAGAGAAAAAGTCTTTTCTCAATATGAGCTACTTTAAGGAAATGATTAAAACTAAATTAAACTGTCAGGCCTCTGGCAAGACTAGCCCAGCTCCATTTCAAATAAAAGTCACCCAGGAAAGAACATTAGCAGAGCTTGTCTGTCTCAGCTACTTGGGCGAAAGGGACGGGCAGAAAAGCCTTGCGCGTCCAACCTGGGAGAATGGTACCCAGTGGAATCCATGTCCCGCCAGATAACTAACTGGGGCGGCCGGGGAGGGTGGGGGGGGGAGAGTTTTTTAAAAAGCATATCCGGTTCCTCTTCCTTATCTTTCTTGGTGCAGTTTAAAATTGGGCAGTTTCAGAAGAGTTTTTTAAAGTGCATTCTCTGTCACCTCCCCTTGTGCTTTCTCAGCCTAGAGACTGTTTGAGAAAGCGAGAGCGAGCAAGCTTCCCACTTCATGTTACCTTACATAGACTACTTGTATTTTCTTTATAAGCAATTGTTTATTTCTAAATTTAAAAATCACGGGCGTCAGGATTTCATTCTCCAGATAGTTTTTTTTTCTTTTATACTTGACCATCGCCTTAAAAGTTTTTAACCTTTAGGTCTGATTTCCCGGATTCAAGACCTGGCATACACGAGAGACTGTTTTTGGCCCTTGAACGTGAGGCGCATCAAGTTGTCCCGGAATTTCCAAACAGGCAAGATTGGGACTTCCTTCCCACGCACAAAAAGCCATTTAGTTAACCCGGGGAGAAATACAGAATAGATGGCAGAGTGAAGGGGAACAAGGACCCTGTCCGAGCACTGAGAGGGGCACTTATGTGGCAGCGTTATTTGGAATTTAATCTGGGAAGGAGCCATATCCTATTGAGGGGCAGTGGACAGCCCACGCCGCGCTGAGTCACAGGGCAGCGCTACACATACCAGCCTAGGCTCCCTCTCTCCTCCCTTCCTTCCCCTTCCCTTTCCCATTCTCCTCCTTCCGTTTGCACACACTCTTCTTCTCACCGCTCCCTCTGATCTGGGTTAACAAAAATAATAAATTATAACCTATATAAATTTACAAAAGCTACGGGAGTAAATCGGGCGGCCGGGGCTGGACGACTGCGCTCTCGCGGGCCTCCTCCCTGCCGGGTTGCGGGCTGCAGCTGCGAGCCCAGGCCCTGTGGAGAAAGCGATCGATGGGAACCGCAGTTCCTGGCTGCAGGCTCCTGCTGAGGGTTTGCACACACAGACAGCGCCTCCCAGGTGTTGGTGACTGTTGATTATCCACTTCCAACAACCAGTCTCTTCCAGATGCCTATCAGCTGCAGCCGAGTCCTGTCACTCTTCTGGCGGCCCACGGAAGAGCCCTTCGGAGCTCCGGAGAGCCCAAACTGGACTCACGCCAAGAGAGGTTCTCCTCTAGGGTTGATTTTTCAATCAATGCTCATGTCACACTGGGCTTTGGGGAGGTGCGAGATTTGGGGAGAGCTAACGGAGAGTGCACTTTGAAGGTGAACCTGCCTTCCTACTTTTCTCCCTCCAACCTTTCTCCAACTGGGGGAAGAGAAAGGAAGGGAGAGAGGGAAGGAGCCTCAGACTGACCAAGTCTGGGGGCGGTGAGGAAGTATGGAACCTATGATGTGGCCAAAAGAAAGCCCACTAGGCTGAGCGAATGATTTTCCCACTCATGTCCAATTTCCAGCAGTATCTGCTCTGCCTTCAGAGTCCAGACAATATCAGTTATTTTTCACCCTGTGCGTGAAAATCCGCAGCCTTCGATTCCTCATTCATTTACCTACATTCCTCCCACAACCCTACACGTAGAGGTTAGTAACAAAAATGTCCAAGAAGTCCACACTTGTGGCTATCACTAATACCTGATCCAACTAAATGATGTCTTGAAGGAGGTAATGAAATTAACAGCAGATGTAAATGAATACCCAAAGATGAGTAGGTGGACATTGCTGATACCAATGTTGCATAAATCGATTTGGACATAAATCACACTGACAATTAATGGAGAGATTAAATAATATTCTCAAACTAGTTAATGAGCAGCTTAATAGTTTGTGCTATATAATATGATGTTTAAATTGATATTAAAATATGCAGCTTCATATTCTTTGACTTCAATATCTAATGCTGTTTTCCCCTATACTCAAATATTATCTTGAGTCCAGTGGTTTAATAAAATGAATTGAAAATGCAACTAAGTGCCCCTATTTAGACTCCGTTTAAGAATCACTAGGTATGGTGTTTAGCTTTTTATAAAAATCATTACACCCTCTAATTGGCTGTAAATTGGGCCCTGTTCTCGTATTTCACATCTGTAGATACCAACAGTTCTTAAACAGTGGAAATTCTGTGCACATTTATATAATCTGCTGAAAGTATAAACAAT